CATGGCTGGAAGTTCCGCGCCGAGGCTGCCCTCGAAGGTGGAGCCAGTTGCGCTCGCAAGTTCTCCAAGCCGCAGGCCCTCCAGGAGATCATCGACTTCGGCGAGGGTGCGCAGCTGCAGCATGCCTACCAGCTCGCCGACAGGAAGCTGGAGCAGCGGAATGGCCTCTGGCAACGTCATGAGGCCCAACCTGTCGAGCTTCCACCCGACGCCGCTGATTGGGGCCCGCTCCCGCCCCTCTCTGGCAACGACATCCGCACGGCGATTCGTGCCTTCAGCTGGGCTACAGGGACGGGACAGGTCAAGATCGCGCCACGGGTGCATGACCAGCTGTCCGACGCAGCTCTGAGTGCGATGGCTACAGCGTTCTGCCGCTGCGAGGAGCTGCTACTCTGGCCTCAGGAGAGGCTCATTTCCAAGATGGTACGACTCCCCAAACCAGGGGGATGGGGAACGCCTCATCGCGCCCCTCAACACCCTCATTCGGGCCCGGGGTCGAGCGCGTCGTCCGACTTCGGCAGATTGGGAGCGGCACAATGCCAGCGAGGAGTTCTGGGGCCGATCGGCGGGCGCTCCTCCACTGATGCCCTGGCGCTCGAGGAGGAGACGGCGCAGCTGACTGGCAAGCACGCGCTGGTCGTCCTCCTCGACATACTCAAGTGCTACGAGATGGTCAAGCATTCAGCCGTCCTCAGCGAGTGCAGGGCGAACAAGTTCCCCACGCGTCTGGCATGCATGCTGGTGTTGCTCTACAAGCAGGTTCGTTCCATCTTCGCATGCAATTCTCATTCTCGAGCTCGGCAGGTTTGCGAAGGTACATTGGCAGGATGCACGCACGCCACCACGATGCTGATGGCCCTCCTCACGCGCAGCATCAAGTTGACCACCACTGTCGCGAAGGAGGTACGGCCGAGAGACCTTGTCGACGACGTGGCTTAGAGTTGGACGGGCCTAGACCCCGGCGGTTCTCGGCATGCGGCCACGGCGCGCCAAGTCTTTTGCGCGTCAGTGCGCGCCCTGGGCCTCATCCCACAACTCGACAAGTCAGGCCACTTAGCTTTGACACGTCAGACAGCTGATCATTTCAAGTCCTTTGCCAGGATGCTCAAGATTACCGGCAAGCGTCACATGCGGCACCTTGGCCACGACCTCGGAGTAGCAGCAGCCGCGCGCGGGGCGCAGAAGGACCGCCCGAAGAAGACGCACGGCAGGAAGGCAAGAATCCGCACCCTTCAGCGGGGAGCTCGACGCGCCAAGGCAGCCAGAATTTGGGCCACAAGCGCGCTCCCCTCAGTCGGCCACGGCGCAGCGGTCAGCGGTATCAATGACTGCGAGCTGAAGCAGATGAGGAGCGTTGCTGGGAGTTGTTGTGGATTTTCTGGCTCAGGCTCGCTCACCCTGTACCTCGCTGTGCAGAAGCAGCGCGCATACGACCCGATCTCTCATGCCACATGGAGCACCCTGCAGTTGCATTCTGCCTTGGTATGGGAGCTTCGCGGATCGCCCTCGCACCTCAAGCAGGCGCGGTGGCGCTGAGAGACCAGATCGGGGACGCCTCTCAGTTTACCTGTGCTAGCGCCAGAGGCCCACTGTCAGCACTCTGGCTCACGCTGAAGCGAGTGCGCCGGGGCATGGCGTCGCCCACGGCGGTCGTCGACGACCTTGGCGTAGCACATGCTTTGCTCGGGGTGCCCCCTAGCAAGTTGAAGCGCCACATGTTTGCCAGCCTGGAGATGGCAAAGTCACAGGATTCTGGATCACCTGCCTGGAGCTCCGCAGCGGGAAGGAGGAGGTGGACGTCTGCACATGTGGATGCGTGCTCTGAGGAAAGGTCACTTGCAACCGCTGTCCAATGGTCTTCGCGGTGCTCTGGCCAAGTTGCAGTCTAACGGCGTGCGGTCGTCTGAGAGACGGCGTCAAGCTGGCTACTCGGACAACGCGAACTGCGAGTTCTGTGGCCACGAGGCCTCGGGCCTTGAGCACGAGATCTCCTATTGTTCGGTTCACGAGCCGCAGGAAGACGAGGATGAGCACCCCTACCCCGACGACGTCACGCAGGCCAGGAGGGATATCTGGAGTCAGGGGCAAACAGGAGTTGGCCTGGAGTGGGACTTCACCCCTGTCAACGTGCTCTACGCCATTCCCCCGCGGGCTGAGCTCAGGCCCCTTGAGCCCTGCGCGCTGCCTGTCAAAGAATGGGGTGCAGTGACGGCCCCGCGGCCAGGAAAAGTTGTTGGTGGTGGTTCTTGTTTTGACAATGATTTTCCTGAGTCCAGGAAATGCGGATGGGCCGTGGCGGCCCAGCCTCGCCCCTTTCAAAGCAATGTTTGGCGGCCTTGGCGGCCCTATTCGGACTGCACCCCGTGCAGAAAGATTTGCTGCACTGCGCGGGCTGGAAGTTGCTGCGAGGCCGACCGAGTTTGTCACCGATCATGTGAGCCTTGTCCGTGAAGGGGCCCCACACGCAGGCGTCTGGCGCAAAATTCATCAGTTGTACAGTTCTGACGAACGCCGACCTCTTTATACCTGGACCAAGGCCCATCGTTCGCTCGACGAGGGCCTGTCCGCGTGCATCGACTCGGGCGAGGCGCTAGATAACTTGTTCGGCAACATGTGGACCGACTGTTTCGCGAAGATGGCCGCGCTCGAGATGTCGGGGTCGTCTCCGATCGCCAAGGGTTTCAAGTTCCAGCTGGAGCAAGCGCTCAGCCGCATGAGGTGTCTTGCGCTTGCCGCGGAGAGGGCGGCAAAGATGGCCACGCCCACCGCCAGGACGCCCCTTGCGCCCGCCCCCAGAGCTAGGTGCGCAAGGAAGCCCACCACGCACGTTTCTGTCGGCTTCCCTGAAGGTGCTTTCGGTTGCAAGATTTGTCGGGGGCAGGCCACCACCCTTTCCTCTCGCAAGTCTTTGTTTGCCCGTCTCTGTGACCCCCAAACTCCAGGGCCCGGCCGCCTCGTGCAAGCGTCAGAGCGCGCGCTTATCTGCACGCGATGTGGAGCGCACGCGGCGCGCCATCAGCGACGCTCGGTCGGCCTGGTGCGCGCCTGCAGGGGGGGCGGGACTGGGACTGGGACGTCGGGGGGTCGGGCGGAGCGCGATCGCCTCCAGAGGCTGCTCGAGAATGCCCAGAAGGGCCGACATCCCAAGACGGGAGAGGTCCCAGGCGCCTTGTCGCTGGCCGACGTGCCAGAGGATTTTGCTCGTGAGTCCGTGGACCCCCAGCAGGCGCCTCCGCGGGTGGGGGCCGTGGATCCTCGGGCCGCGGCCGTTGGCCTGCGCGGCGCGTCGTTGCTCGAAGATGCCACAGTCTCGGACTCACGGCCCGCTTAGACCGCGCGAGTTCCCGCGCACGGCGCTGGCACTTGGCCGCGCCGCCAGGGCGACCCTAGCCTGCTGGGTCGCCCCCTTTCGTCTCGACGCGGCTTCGTGGTTCACCTGGCCGCTCTCTGCACTGCTCCACTGCTCCTCCTCCTCCTCCTCCACCTCCTCCTCCTCCTCCTCCTCCTCCTCCTCCTCCTCCTCCTCCTCCTCCCCCTCCTCCCCCTCCTCCTCCACCTCCCCTCCTCCTCTCCTCCTCCTCCTCCTCCTCCTCCTCCTGATCCTCCTCCCCCTCCTCCTCCTCCCCTCCTCCTCCCCCCCCCCCTCCTCCTCCTCCTCCTCTCCTCTCCCCTCTCCCCCTCCCCTCTCCTCCTCCCCTTCCTCCTCCTCCTCCTCCCCTCCTCCCTCCTCCTCCTCCCCCTTTTTCCTCCTCCCCCTCCTCTCTCCTCTCCTCCTCCTCCTCCTCCTCCTCCTCCTTCTCCTCCTCCTACTCCCCCTCCCCCCCTCCTCTCCTCCTTCCTCCCTCATCCTCCTCCTCCTCCTCCTCCTCCTCCTCCTCCTCCTCTCCTCCCCCCTCCTTCCTCCTCCTCCTCCTCCTCCTCCTCCCTCCTCCTCCTCCTCCTCCCCTCCCCTCTCCTCCTCCTCTCTCCTCCTCCTCCTCCTCCTCCTCCTCCTCCTCCTCCTCCTCCTTCCTCCTCCTCCTCCTCCTCCTTCCTCCTCTCCTTCCTCCTCCTCTCCTCCTCCTCTCTATCCCTCCTCTCCTCCCCTCCTCCTCACCCCCCCTCCCCCCCCCCCCCCCCCTCGCCCCACCGCGGTCGCAGTCGACCGCCGCAGCCGAGGCGCCGCGGAGGCGCGGGGCCGCGGAGGCGCAGGCGCTCCCGGAGCCGGCGGCGTTCACGGCGATCGAGATGGCGGCGTCGGCCGGAGCGCAGGCGGCGGTGCAGACCTCGGCCCGAGAGGCCCTCGGGGCGCGGAGAGCGGTCTCTGCAGCGCGGCGGCCGCCGCCGACGGCGGCGCCGTAGCCCGAGGCCGGGCCGAGGCAGACGTCGGCCCAGGCCGCGCCCCTGGCGATCCAAGGCGCGGAGCCGGAGGTGCCGCTGCCAACCGAGGCCCCTCCTGGAGTCTGGGTCGCGCCAGAGCAGCCTGTCCCATCGGGATAGCGCACCAGGTGGTCGAGGCACACGAAGAGCGGCAGCAGTTCTGCTGGCGCGACGCTGGCTGAGGATGGGCGCGGCGCCAATACTCCAGCCAGGGCACTCTTCGAGCAGGCCTCGGCGGCATGCAAGGCGGAGAAAGAGCGCCAGGCCGCGCAGGAGGCGCTGCTGGCACCAGGGCGGAGCACTTTGCCCGGCAGGCCGAGCGAGTCGATCCCGCGGGAGGGGGGCCGCCGCCGGGCAGATGGCCGCTTGGAGGGCTCCGAGCGCCATGCAAAGGAGAAGAGGGAGCTGAACGAGAAGAAGCGCAAGAAGCACAAGAACTAAAAGGGCAAGAAGGCGAAGCGCTCGGAGCCACGGGCGGTCGACTGAAGGCCCGCGCCCAAGGGTTCTACGCCTTGTGCTCTGGAGGCACTGACAACGAAGCCAAAGGTGTTGAGCCCGATGGTTGGCACGGCTGGCATCAGCATCAGGGCCCAGCGCAGCAGCATCAGTTGAATGAGAACAGCTTCGCGCGCGAGCCGCTCATGGAGCGCAGCGCGGAGCAGAAGGACGGTGGGCCGAACCCCACGGATAAGGAGATTGAGTGCCAAGCGGAGGAGTTCTGCAGGGTGGGCGGGATGTCCGAGGCCTCCAGCAGTAGCGTGAGCGACATGCGCGACGGCGGCTACTGGTTGCTGGACAAAGCGCTCGGTGCGTGGCGGCGTGAAGCCGCAGCTTTGTTCCCGAGCGAGGAGCAGAGCGACTTCGGGGTGCTCGAGGTCGGCGCGCACCACGCGGTCAAGCACAGTGCGGAGGTACAGAACAAGCTCGAGACGCTGGCGGGCGACTCCGCCGCGGGCAGCACCACGCTCGAGCGCGAGATCAAGGAGCCCAGCTACGGCGCGAGCCTCCCCGAGATGGTCGGCGGAGGCAGACGCCGTCTCAAGGGTTGGAGCTGGCGGCCCCGGCTCGCACGGCGAGAGCGCGGACCCCGCGCCCGCGGAAGTGGGCACCGACCCCGGGGGCTGGAGCCCGCGGCTCGGGCCAGGCGGTACACAAGATGCCGGCGGCAGCGCGGCATCACGGGACGCTGGCCTGAAGGGGCCCGGGCCGGCTGCCGGCGGCAGCGAGGCGGAAGTCACGGCGAGCCAGCGCAAGAAGAGGAAGAAGGGCTCCAAGCATCGCCCCGCAAGCTGGCACGCGGAAGAGATAAAGGCCGCAAAGGCGAGGCTGGCCCAGGAGATGTCGGGCGAGGGGTCGCTCAGCCAGGAGCAGGCGGCGCGCGTCAAGTCAGCGCCGGGCCGCGGGGAGGTGGCGACGCCGACCAGCGAGTAGCGAGCGAGCGAGGCGCGGCTCGGCCTCATGCCAGCGCGGGTCGCGGCCCGACCATCGCGCGGACTGGTGCCCCTTATATGCTCCCACTGATGCGGGCCGCGGTTCGGCCAGCATCCTTCGTTTCGAAATTTGAGGCGGGACGCGGACTCTGCCCAGCGCGGGCCGCGGCGCGGCTAGCGCGCAGGCAGCCCTTTTGCAGCGGGATGCTGCCATAATGGAGTTTCCTGCGCGGGCCGATGATCGGCCTGCGCGGGGGGCTCCGCTGACGGCGTCGCCGCAGAGTGGCATCGTTCGCCGTAGCGCGAAGGGGGATGCTCCATTTTCTGATCTACCCTGTTGCACCCCCCCCCTCGCCCTGAATACGCCCCATGAGAACTGCCAGCCCCCCATTGGAAGGGGGCGACACAAACCGAGCACTAGCCACGGAGGACGAGGACGAGGCGGGCGAGGAGGAGTAACAGGAACAGGGGCAGCCAGCAGCAGCAGCAGCATGAGGGGCCTGCACTCTCTCTTTCTCTCTCTCTCTCTCTCTCTCTCTCTCTCTCTCTCTCTCTCTCTCTCTCTGTCTCTCTCTCTCTCCTCTCTCTCTCTTTACTCTTCTCTCTCTTCCTCTCTCTCTCGCTCTCTCTCCTCTCTTCTCTCTCTCTGTCTCTCTCTACTCTCTCCTCTCTCTCGTCTCTACTCTCTCTCTCTCTCTCTCTCTCTATTTGTCAGATTTGTCTTCATCACCTCTGCCACCGTCTTCACGCGCTGGCCACTATCGAAAAGACGAGGCCATGAGCATACATCCGATAAAATAGTCGAGGCCACATCCCATTTGAAAACGTGGACTCAAAAGTTCACGGGACAGGCGAAAAGGGGAGAGGAGGGCGGGAGACTTGAAGCAAAAAAATATAATGGCATACGGGGCGGGAATACGACAATGATTCTGTTGGCACCTTCAATACCGCCGCCCGTCTGCAAGCATACCAGCATAACATGAAGGGCCTGGCAATCTCTCTCTCTCTCTCTCTCTCTCTCTCTCTCTTTGTGTCAGCACTTTGTCTCACGAGCCTCGGCCACGTTTTTTTTTTTTTTCTTCACGCGCTGGCCCGCTCTCACAAAAAGACGAAGCCACGGAGTTTTTTTCACTTCACGAAAATAAGGTCGAGGCTACATCCCAAGAGACAGCGCGGCGATATGCTGCAGAGCTACACAGGATTTGCGCCAAGAGTTGCGACAGCTTGGGTGGGTAAGTTTTGCGCCTGGGCTGTCATCTTTTTGGCACAAAATTCGATCGTGTCATTCTCCTAATACTGGCAGATGCCCTTGGCCCACAACTTACCCACCCAAGCTGTCGCACTCTTGGGCGCAAATCCTGTGGTAGCTTGCAGCATATCGGCCGCGCTGTCTTGGGATGTAGCCTCGACTTATTTCGTGAGTGTATACTCGATGGCTTCGTCTTTTTGTGAGAGGCGGGCAGCGGCGTGAAGAGGTGGCCGAGTACGAAAGACGAGGCCATGGAGCATACACTCACGAAATAGGTCGAGGCCACATCCCCCTTTGAAACGTGGACTCACAAGTTCCACGGGACAGGCGAAAGGGGAGAGGAGGGCGGGAGACTTGAGCAAAAATATAATGGACATACGGGGAATACGACAATGATCTCGTTGGCCCCTTCAATACCGCGCCCGTCTGCAAGCATACCCCGCACTAACATGAAGGGCCTGCACTCTCTCTCTCTCTCTCTCTCTCTCTCTCTCTCTTTGTGTCAGCACTTTGTCTCATCAACTCGGCCACCGTCTTCACGCGCTGGCCCGCTCTCACAAAAAGACGAAGCCATCGAGTATACACTCACGAAATAAGTCGAGGCTACATCCCAAGACAGCGCGGCGATATGCTGCAGAGCTACACAGGATTTGCGCCAAGAGTTGCGACAGCTTGGGTGGGTAAGTTTGGGCCTGGGCTGTCATTCTTTTTCCTTCAAATTCGACGTGTCATTCTCCTAAATACTGGCAGATGCCCTGGCCGCCACAGATGCGTCGGTCATACAGAGGAAACATCGACACTGCCACAATTACCAAACATTAGCAGGGCACGCTTCCGCCACGGCGCTCCAAAGGCACACTTATCGATAAACTTCAAGTGCACCTTCGGGTCTCTCGCGAGCTTTTGGAACTCCGGAGCGCGCCACAAGATACTCATGATAGGGTCCCCCACGGCCCGGGGGACACCCAAGACGTGAACTTGTTCGATGAGCTCAAGGATCCCGCGGGCCTGGAGGCCCCCATTGTCGAGGGTTCCTTTGTCATTTTACGAGAAAGGCTTCACGGGGTTGGACGCCCCCGAGGGCTCCGCTCGCGATCGAATTACATTGGTCCCATGGCGGGCTATCAAGATCGGCATTCGATGGCTATCATAGCTGCAACGATCTGCCCATTCTCTGCCTCGGAGCATAGATGTTGCTGAGGCTTGTCAAATCTAAAGAATCTGAAATGGCCGCATCCCAACAGCCCAGCACGCATCCCGCATATGCCCGCTGCTCGCCCCGCGCCACCGGTGCCGCCAAACAGATCAGCTAAATACGGCGTCGCTTCTTTGGGGCCGAGTTCGGGATAACAGGCTGCGCGACGGCCGAGGGGCCGACCTGGCCGCACAAAAGGCCCCCGAGCCAGAGCTCGCACCTTCTCACGCGCGACGCCGAGGAGTCGGGCAGCTTGTCAACGCCCCTGACTATATTGGCCTTCCTGTCGTAGCGGAGTACTGACTTGCCCGCCTTCCACCGGCAGCGCGTCTTGATCTTGGCTCTGATTCGACATTGCATGGCGGTATCGATGGAGGCGCATGAGTGCTTTGCGGGACATGGCACCGCGGTCACCCTGAGTCGCTTGCACACTTGCTCAAACTGGTGCGTGTAGGAGCTGCAACAGAAATTGAAAAACTTCCCCCTGGGGCATAAGTTCTTCGACGTTGCGGCTATTGTGGGGAAGTACGCCACCCGGCGGGAGCTCAGCTCGATGCTCTCGCCCGTCGCATACGTCTTCGAGGCCCGCCCCCGCTCTTGCCGGAAAGCCCAGCTGATCCAGGTGGCAGAGAGTCCATGACATGGGGCAAGAAGATCTGCTCTCAAGGGCTTGAGAGGCTCCGGGGGCTTCGCGCACGTCACCAGCACGAACAACGCGAGCACCGCCACGTTCCAGTAGTTGCCCCGCCCCAGCTCCCAGATGCCGAAGGCCACGGGGCGGCGCGACAGGAGAGAGCAGCGGCGCCCCCAGCCCCGGAGGACTCGGTAGCTCCGCGAGAGACGGAGCCCTCCGCGGCGCCCGAGCTCGGGCAAGAAGTGCTCGAGCCTGGCGACGAGCTCCTCGCCCTTGCTCACGCTGTCGCCCAGGTCGAAGAAGTCTTGCAGCTGCTGCGCCCCCGACGCGCCCACCTCGGCAGCCCCGCCGAGCGGCTCGTCGAGCTCGCGAGCCCGCGTCCTCCAGTGGCTCACCAGCTTGCGGAACCAGATCTCCGTTCTGGCCTGCACAGCGCTGGACTTCACCGGGAAGAGTCCAAGGCCGCGCACACCCTCGGGCTCGATCGGCACCCGAGCCCTCTTCACACGAGAGAGCTCGGGCTTCCTGGTCCTGCGACGGGGCTTCCCGCGATTCTCACCGCGTCCGAGGTCCCGTCGCTGCTCCAGTCCCGCACGGTCGCCTCCGCCTCGCTCGGGTCGTCCAGAGGGTCCGCCTGCCTGTTCTCCGCGCCCTGCAAGAGCGCCGCCAGCTCGCTCCCGCGGGCCAGCTGTCGGCCCCACACCGGCGGCGCGGAGGCTGGCGGGCGGGTCGCCAGGCAGCCTTCGAAGGGGCAGCCGTCGCACCTCGAGGGCGACCAGCCGCGGGAGCCCTCGGCCGCGCTCTCGCCGCAGGCGGGGGCACCGCCAGGGTCGCCCGAGTACGAGCCGGTTGCAGCCAGGGGACCGTCGCCACCATCGCAATGACGAAGTGTGCCAGCATGTCCGACTGAGAAAAGCCGCGAAGGCTCGACTGCTGAATTCCACTCAGAGGGCATCCAACGGAAGTACGCTCGAAGGCCCAAAGACAAACACCAAGCCCCCATTCCCCCCCTTGCACAACAGGGCCCAGAAGTCCGCAGTTCGATCTCGGGCGAAGGACAGGCACACTCCCATATATCCACGTGAAGGAGCGAACGTGCGTCACCGAGGTGATGCGCACCTACCACAGCCTGGAATCCCAACGTCAGAGCCCGCGCCTCGAGGGTAAAAATGCCCGCGTCGAAATACTTCCACGGCCCTGCCAGGGGGGGGCACCCCAGTCGCCTCCAGAGATATACTTATGGGGGACCTCCGGGAAGTTCGGGCCCATATCGAAAGGCTGATCCTCGTCCTTCTCCTCCTCTTCCGATCCCAAGTCCCCAAGGCTACCGAAGAACCTCTCGCGGGCCGAAACTCCAGAGAGCCTCCTGAACCGCCCCCTCTCCATGACCCCCCCCCCCACCTTCGCGACATCGTCAGATTCCCCATGCGAGACCGTTGCCCCAAAACCCTCCTCCGACGCATCCGTCGCCACCACGCCGGCGACCCAGGGCAGGGCCCACGAGGCGCCCATTACGAGCAACAGGGACGTAGCGGCGTTCATCTCCTGACGAGCGGTCTCCCATAACGGCATGGGCGCAAGGTAATGATTGTTCATGAACGCGTAGATGCTTCTAAACACGCTCATCACGCTCCTGTTGATCAGGACACAGAAGGCGAGGTGGCCGAGCAGCACTTCCCAGACGCGACCGGGAAGCTTCCGACACCTCGGGGCGCAGAGGACCCCCTGGCGCACCTTCCAGAGACGGGCAGGGGACAGCGACGCGACGAGGCCCTCTAGGTCCAAGTGAGTCCCCAGGGCCTTCGACTCACTCACGCTCACCTCGTGCTCGCGCGTCTTCAAACCCACCTTCTCGAAGAGACCCGAGGCGCCCGACAGAACCGGCGACGCATGGGCCGGGTCGCGCGAGATCGCGCCAAGATTGTCCACGCAGATGCAGCGGCAGATCCCGGGGCCCTCCAGAAAGACCCCGCTGGCCCGGGGGCCCGCGCACTCCGAGAACCGAAAAAGTCCGGGCGCTCCCCGATCCTAAAGCACGGTGGACCCGACATACGTTGCCCCCCTGATCGCTGGCAAAAATACAAAGACCAAGAGAACCCCATCGGCAACGATGCCCAACAGGTATCGACCTGGTCATCTATGCCCAAGACGACCCCGATAGGGCCCCTTCCGACGACACGCAGCCCCCCCCGCGGTAGCGGCCCCCAATCCAAAATGACAGGCGAGCCCCTCGGGGAGACGAAATCGACGAAAAGCGTCTTTAACATCCGCCAGCCCCAGAGACACCCGGGCGCCACGAAGCTGGTCGGGGGAGAGACTAGAACAGCCAGGCGGGAGAACGACCTCGACGCGCGCGCGGCTCTCGCTAGAACACAAATGGACTCCAGGGGGCTCAGCGAACCGTCTATTGGCACGACGCGCATCATGTATCAAGCGACTCTTGCCCTTTCCAGACTTCTTCACGAAAAGAACATCCCAACATGCTCCCGGGCCGATCCCGCGGGCAAAAGCATCGCAAGACCGACCTTGAGGAGCGCGCGCATCAATCGCAGAAACTTGCGACGGCTGCGGGCAAGCACGGGGTCCCAGTAGGGCCCCATAGGGGGGCAACGACTCCCGTCGCTCCAAGAAGGCCGCGAGCGGGCGCAGCATGCGCTCGTAGTTCTGCTCCAAAAACTGGTTTGCGACTGGGCCCAAAACTTCTCGCACCGCCGGGGCGCCGCCGGGGCGCCCTCGAGGCTGTCGGGAAGGCCCATAGACGCGACATTCGAGAAACTGGCCAAGTCGCGCCCGCCAGGCTCTGCATCGCGCACGACCCGGCCGCGCAGCAGCTCGAGGAAAGCCGCTCGCTGGCCAGGGATCGCGACACCCGAGTCGAAAAGGGAAGAAATCCTGTCTCGAACGCACGCATGCACTCTGGCCCGCTCGGCGGCGACCGGCGGCCCAGAGAAGGCGCGGCGCCGATCGCCCGCCATCGAATTCAAAGCCTTTACGGTAGCATTGACATCCGCATTCAGACGTCGCAGGTGGCCGCGCAGGCTCGACGCCCGGCGGCCATGCCCACTCGGCGCGGATGGCGAAGGAGAGAGAGGGATGGGGAGAAGAGACAGCATGCGGACTCGCTTCAATCGCTCGTCGCCCGCCGCCTGGCCTGGGCCTCCAGCGCTGAGTCGACTGGCCCCAGCGCCAGCCAGGCCCTTCACCCCGACGCCAGCAGAGGCGCCCCCCCTCCGCCCTCTCCGCCAGCCCCCTGGGCAGGCAGCCCGCGGCCTGGGCGATGGAGCAATTATCGGCCGCGCCCGACGGTGGGAGCCCTCGCGAACGCATCCGCATGCTCTCGATCTCCATCTCCCCCTTGGCACGTCGGTGAGCACGCGAACGAAGCTCGGGACCGCTGAAGAGGCCGAAGTCACGGGCGCGAAGTGCTCCACCCCCTTTCCAGTTCGCGCGGCCGGGGACCCCAGCGGAGTAGGCCTCGATGATCTGGCACACCCTCCTCGACGCCGCTTCGGCGCGGGCTAGCGAGGGGCCGTTCACCTGGTCGTAGCAAGCGCCCAGGTAAAAGTATGTCCGTCAGCAGCTCCATCTCAATACCAGTCCGCTCCTGCGCGCTCACCCCCGCCTCGCGGCACCAGACGTCACGCCAAAGACGCGGCCCCCGCCCTGCCTCTGGATGTTCTTGAACAAGGCAAGGCTAGCGGCGGGCCCCTCATGATGCTTCTCCCAGTCGCCAAAGTAGCTGTAGGAGATCTCCGCACACACTGCCCGCCAATGTTTGTAGCGTTCTCCATGCTCGCCGCAATCAACCGTCAGCGTCCTAGCATCCTCCGCAGCGGGAGGAGTCTTCGTGCCACCGTCGAACGCCTCGTGGAGCCTATCCTCCAGGCCCCCCACAGGAGGGGCGCCGTCGTCTTCCACGATCTTCGCGATCAGAGACCGAGCGACGTCCAGGAAAGAGCCCACGTCCGCCAGCCCCACTCGCATGACTGGCACGGGCTGCGTGCGGGAGTCTAACGCCATCGCAAACTCACCGGCCGACATGGCCCCTGGACCCCGATGGCGCTCACGGACGAAGTCAGGATGACGTGGATCCACGATCAACCATGTGGTGTCCTGCGGCAGGTCAGGCACCGGGAGCGGTGCTGCCCCTGGCGCGGCAGCTGCACTCACACCGCCCTCCTCGACGAACGGAACCAGCTCCACACCCTCCGACGCCATCAGCGGCCCGTACTGCACGTCCGAACCGCCCCAGAGCGTGATGGAGGCGGGCACCTCCTGGTGGCGTCGGGTGATGGCGAAACTCTCGGCCTCCGCCAGCTTGATCTGCTCCACCAGCTCGGGGGGCTCCAGCGTCTCCTTGAAACGATAGAACCGACCGCGCAGCTCTTCCAAGATCGGCGCGCTCGGATCCAGCAGCACAGCCTGGACCGCGCCGCTAGTGCCGCGACGGAACTTCACCCTCTCGGCATAGCGATCGCCGTCGCACAATGACCCACACACATGGTCTCACCGGCGCCAAAGCGACGCGCTCATGCCTGCACGTGTCGTCCGAGTACCAGCGCGCCAGCCTCCGCCCAGGGCGGAGTTCACTCATAAACTCCGGCTCCGCCATGACGGACCCGTCCGTCCCGAAGAGTTGGAACCTCCGCGCTGACAGCATCTCGTCGACGGCCACAGGCACCTCTCACACGATCGAGCGCGTCCCGCACGAGGCCCCCGAGCAGTGCCCAAATCACCAGCCAGAAGCTCACCGCCGCGTCCGCCGCCGCCTGCACCAGCGCGACCCTGTCCTCCAGGCGAGCCGCCAGGCCGAGGAAGAGAGCCGCAGCCCCCTCGGGAGGCCCCGAGTCGGGCGGCCCCGCGCCCAAACCGAAGGACGGGCAAGAGGCCGCCGGGCACACCGGCTGCGGGCAGACGGGCGCGGGTGCAGTCCGCAAGGCCCCGAGCGCCACCAGCCCGTGAATGGCCGCAGCCGCGAGGGCCGAGACGGGGCCATGGGGGATGCCCACGAGAGCGAACCCGAAAAGACTTGACCAATAATAGGGTGGAAATACGGAGAATACGACAATGATCTCGTTGGCCCCCTCAATGCCGCGCCCCTCTGCAAGCATACTCCGCACCAACAGGAGGGAGGGGAGGATGAAGGAAGGCCCTTCTCCCCATCCTCCCCATCATCCTCGCTCCCTCCTACTCCTCGCCCCTCCATATTCCACTCCTCCAGCCCCTTCCCCTCTAAGTAACTCCTCCCTGTCGCACTCCGAGGCGTGCCGATAGGGCGGGCCAGGCGTTTCGCCTGAGCCTTCCTCATCATGGATCATTCTTACGCATAAATCTTACGTACGCTTCACAGATGGAGGGCGGTACCTTCTCAATATGTGGCTCTCGCCGTAGCGCCGTGCACATTCGTCTTCAAAGATTTTCCTCTGCGAGCCGCCAGGCGAGACCGAGGGGGGCGACAGTTCAGCCCACGATGGAGGACACGCACTGTGAGTGCCCTCCCTGAAACAAAACAACGTCCAACGGTATTCGTCAGACGCGGCAGTCCCAGCTGCCGACAACGCCCACAGGGCGTGGGGGGAGCTCGCGAGCCCCCCACTTCAAGAAAACAAACGCGTCCAAAGCTGGTCTTCACGGATGGATGGCAGTACCTTTTCAAAATGTGGCTCTCGCCGCAGCGTCGCGCACATTTGTCTTCAATATTTGCAAGAGCTTCACGGATGGAGGGCGGTGCCTTTTCAAAATGTGGCTCTCGCCGTAGCGCTGCGCACATTCATCTCAAGAGTCTACACCGTGGGTACGATGTAGGACCGTCAGGGCGCAACAGTCAGGTTGATTCGCGGTGCGGAAGTCCAGGGATTTGCGTTCTGGAGCGAGTCCGGATCGTCAGGACGCAACAGTAACGTTGACTCGCGGCGTTGAAGTCTCAGGAGCGGTGTTCTGGCACGGATCAATATTTTCGAACGGTTGTCCTCCGACGGGCCATTTCCCGCAGTGAAAATGAATCCTTGTAGGGACCTATGAAGAGAGAACTTGAAGGGAGGTGTATTGCAACATTGTTGATGGATACAGGGTTTACGCTGGTCCTCCTCCTCCTCATCCTCCTCCTCCACCTGCTTCTCCTCATTCTCCTCCTCCTCCTCCTCCTGCTTCTCCTCCACCTCCTCATCATCAGCATCATCATCGTCATCACAATCATCATCAGCATCATCAACATCATCATCACCAGCATCAGCATCGTCATCGTCATCGTCAGCATAATCTTCTGCATCTTCTTCATCATCAGCATCCTCGTCATCGTCCTCGGCATCATCATCATCATCATCATCATCAACATCATCATCATCATCATCATCATCATCATCATCATCATCATCATCATCATCATCATCATCATCGTTGTCATCCCTCCTCCTCCTCCTCCTCCTCCTCCTCATCCTCCTCCTCGACCCCTTCTCCCCTCCATCTCCATGATCAGCATCATCACCATCAGCAGCAGCAACAGCATCAGCATCATCATGATCAGCATCATCTGAATCATGATCACCAGCATCAGAATCATCATCATGGCCATCGTCAATACTATAACCAACAGAACCATCACCACCACACCACCATCATCATCATAATCATCATCATCATCGAATTCATCATTGCCATCATCAGCGACATCGTCATCAGCATCATCGCCATTAAAATCAAAATGATTATCATTATCGCCACCACCATCATCATCGTCAGTACCATCGCAACCAGCATCAGCATCTTCATCAATAACAGCAACATCATCATCAGCAGCAGTATCATCAGCATCACCATCAGCATCACCATCAGCATCATCAGCATCATCAGCATCATCATCAGCATCATCATCGTCGTCGTCATCGTCATCATCACTAGCATCGCAATCGTCGCCGACGTCATCGTAATTCGCATCATCCACATCATCGTCATAATCATAATCATCTGTCGTCGTCGTCCTCATCCTCCCAACATCATCATCATCATCATCATCATCATCATCATCATCATCCTCATCATCATCATCATCATCATCATCATCATCATCATCACCGTCGCCGTTGTCGTCGTCTTTGTGGGCGTCGTCTTCGGCATCATCATCACCATCAGCAGCAGCATCAGTATCATCATCACGCTCTCCTCCCAGTCGTCATCATCATCATCATCATCATCATCATAAGCAGCAGCAGCATCATCATCAACGTCGACGGTGTCACGGATGTCGTCATCGCCATCGTCGCCATCGCCATCGTCATAGCCATTGTCATCATCAGAATCATCAGCATCGCCATCGGCTTCGTCGTCGGCGACATCAGCATGGGCAGCATGATGAACAGCATATTCATCAACCGTGCCATCTGTATCATCAGCACCATCATCATCGCCAACATCGTAATGATTATGATCATCAACAGGAACCTCCTCACCATCAGCATCCACACAGTCGCCGCCATCATCGTCGACGCCACCGTCATCATCACAACCAACATCGTCGACATGATCACCATCACCACCGCTAGCACCATGACCTTCACTATCATCATCATCATCATCCGCATCAGCAGCATCATCATCGTCAATAGCGAGAGCATCATGATCATCATCATCATCAGCATCGTCATCATCATCATCATCATCATCATCATCATCATCATCATCATCAACATGAACATCATCAGCATCATCATCATCATCAGCAGCGTCGTCATCCGCAGCAGCACCATCACCACCAGCAGCACCAGCACCAGTACCCGCACCAGCACAAGCACAATCATCATCACCATCTTCATCATTCAACCCCCCCATCATCCTCAATAGCATCGTCATCATCATCAGCCTCATCAGCACCAGCAGCAACAGCACTAACAACATCACCATCAGCAGTACCACCATCATCAGCATAACCACTAATCATCTTCCTGAACACGAATCACCGATCATCAGCATCATCGTCATCATCATCATCATCATTGACATCATCATCATCATCATCATCAGCATCATCATCATCATCATCATGATCATCATCCTCATCAGCATCATCATCAGCATCATCATTATCATTACCATCATCAGCAGCAGCAGCACCAGCATCATCACCACGATCAGCATCAGCACGAGCACCATCACAGCCGATATGACCATCACCATCAGTCACCATCGCCACCAATTGCCGTCGTTCATTCGCATCATCATCATCATCATCATCATCATCATCATCATCATCATCATCATCATCATCATCAAGATCATCAACTTCATCATCATCGTCATCATCAGCAGCAGCAGCAGCATCACCATGAGCAGCATCAGCATCAGCAGCAGCAGTCATATAGTTAAACCTCCTAATCCTCAGCAACATCACCACAAAGAGCAGCACAAGCACCAAAACAAGCACACGCACCATCACAATCAAAATCATCATCGCCCATCATCATGATCATCATAATCGTCATCGTCATCATCATCATCATCATCAGCATCATCATCATGATCATCATCATCATCATCATTATCATCATCATCATCATCGTGACCATAATGCCATTGCCCATCATTATCGACATCATCATCACCACCATCATCATCATCATCGTCATCGTCATCGTCATCATCATCGTCATCATCACCATCATCGACGACATCGTCATCATTATCGTCATCATCACCATCACCATCAGCATCGTCATCATCATTATCATCCGCAACATCATCATCATCATCATCATCATCATCATCATCATCATCATCATCAGCATCATCATCATCATCCACAACATCATCATCACCATCATCATGAGCTTCTTCATCATCAGCAGCATCATCATCATTATCATTATCATCATCATCATCATCATTGGCATCATCATCAGCATCATCAGCATCATCAGCATCATCATCGTCATCGGCATCGTTGTCGTCGTGATCATCATCACTATCGTCATCCTCATTACCACCATTATTATCATCGCCACCCTCATTCACAATCAGAATCAACATCATAAGCAGCATCGCAGCATCGCAATCATCATGACCATCATCACCAACCTCATTCAAGCATCATCAGCGCTATCATCAACACCACCATCAGCACCATTATCATCAGCATTATCATCATCCACTGCCAGCATCATCATCAGCATCATCACCATCGTCATGATCGGGATCATCATCATCATCATCGTCATCATCATCATCATCAGCAGCATGATGATCATCATCATCACCCATAGCAGACGCAGCAGCAGCAGTACCATCATTCCTTCCTGGTCTCCCCCATATCCTGATCCAGTTCCTCCCCCCTCCTTCTCGCAGCAACAGGGGAGGGACGGCCGCCACCGCGGCCCGCGATGGGGTCGAGCCTCCGCCTGCTGGTCGCTGTCCTCCCCGCTCGACAGGTCCGGATCGGACCCGCTCCTCGTCGGGGCGCCGCCGTCGTCGTCGAAGCCCTTGTCCTCGCTCTCGGTATCGCCCTCTTCCTCCGCCTCCTGCTTCTCCTCCTCATGGGGCCCTCGGGGAAGAGCGCCCAGGGGCCTCGTCCTCGTCGTTTTCTTCGTCCTCCTCCTCCTCCTCCTCCTCCTCCTCCTCCTCCTCCTCCTTTTCCTCCTCCTCCTCCTCCTCGTCCTCCTCCTCCTCTTCCTCCTCCTCCTCCTCCTCCTCCTACTCCTCCTCCTCCTCCATCTCGAAGTCTCGAAGTTGCGGACTGTGTCGTCGAACGACTGAGGCCCCTCCCACCGGTCGGCGGGAGAGGGGAACAAATACCGAAGGTTTAGAGAAGCAACTAGGAAGGACGACCAAACGGCGAAGAGAATGCACGGAGGGCGGGGGAGCGAAACTGTCTGTGACGGCGCGGCGCGAATCCAGATGAGACCCGACCCGAGCGTGGGTCTCAGGCCCCTGGGGGGGAGCTGAGAACCACATCGGCTCGCCTCTCCTGGACTGGGGGCCTCCTGCTTCTCCAACACGTGTACCACATATCCGATCGAGGAAAAGATGCGAGGTCCAGGTGCTAAGCGGCGCGGCGCGGCGAAAATGGCCGGTGCGAGCGACGGGGGGTGGAGCGGACACTGCGGCGGGGGGTGTAAAAAAGGTGGGTTCCCTGAGCGGTGCTGCGGTGGCTGCGAGGAGGGTGGGCGCAAGAGGTGGGAAAAAATGAGCAGGTGACTGGAGGGGCGGCCCGACGGAGACCCCCCCCCGAAGGGGGGGTGAGGACCCCTCGGCGTGGCTTAGTTGCGCACCACTTGGTCCACGGCCGCCGCGGGGGCTGCACCCCACCACGGCGGCCTGTGCCGAGCGTGGCCTTTCCAGTCTCTCCTTTCCACCCTTTTCAACCAACCCATGTCGCGGCGCCGCCAACTTCTCCTGGCGTTGGCGGCGGCAGAGAATGAAAACGTAGGCTAGCGGGCGAAAGACGGGGGGGGGCTGCCAGGAAGAAGCGGAGAGGGAGGGGTTGATTAGATGGGGGATGTTGAAGGTCTTCAAAGAGGGTGAGAGGCAGGGTGCAGGTAGGACAGGGCTCCGAAGGCGAGGCCGAGGTCCAGGGTGTAGAGGACGTTGCAGAGGTGGATGTAGCCGAATGTAATGATGGAGGTAATGGCTGAAAAAGGTTCTGCCCGTCGTGGGTGGAGAAAGCAGGGAGCTGCTGCCGTCGCGGAGAAAGGTGTAAAGACTGCTGTGCTGCGTCGCGTCCAGCTGGTGCTGCTGCTGCCGCAGTGACAGTGAGTGCGTAATCAGGATGCGGCACAGCAGTGGGGGTTTTAGAAAAGGTACGAGCCAGCTGAACAGCGGCCATGACGTCGCAGAGCAAAACTGGAGAGGGCATGGGAAAGCTGCGCCCTGAATGGGCAGCTGCAGCTGTAGAAGTCTGACGCCGCGAGATGTGGTCGGGGTTGGCGTCGCGCCCCCTCTGCTGGTTTCTCTCTCTCTCTCTCTCTCTCTCTCTCGCGCCGTGCCCCATGTTTCCCATGGTGGTCCGGCCACGATGGCGGCCACGTGTCCCTGGTGCATATGTTCTGCCCTGTACTCGGTGAAGTCCAGGTTAACATTATCCCATCTCGTGATCAGCGACGTCGATAGAGAGCGCGTAAATCTACGCCCCAGCGGGTGGCGGGGTCCGTTCCGCCCAGGCGCTGCATGTCTCCGTTTCGTGCTTTCCCGCAGCATAAGAGGAGAACTACCTTGGATTTGCCTCCTGCGCCCCTGGCCATCCTTGTTGCCGTCGAGTTTCACTGCGCCTTTGGCATCTGGCTCCCACGCGGTAGAAGTAGGGCCCTTGGCGCAGGTCGGCCGAATGTCTGTCCTGTAGCTGGGCATGTCCGCCTGGCTATCAGGACTTCCTGCTCTGATGCTAGCCCTCTGCGCGGCTCGCATGAGTTCCCCGTTGTTCTCGATGCGCTGGTCGGGCAAACGCGGGGCCCCGTTGCACCGCGGCGTCGCGCCAGCGGGCGTGGCCCTGAGGTGCTTCAGGGGTCTGGCGCACTTGCGGCGCTTTCTGCTGCGCGCAAGGCATCTGGCCCCAGTTGCCCTTGCCACGGGGCAACTATCGGTCGCGCGCCCACCCCCCCCACCCCCCCACCCCCACACCCACCCACCCACCCACCCACCCACCCACCCACCACCCACACACTCACACCCACCCGCACACAGACAGACACACACACACACACACACACACACACACACACACACACACACACACACACACACACACACACACACACGCCACCAGACCACACCCCGCGCACATTAGGCAGGCCTGCTCGGCAACGGGGGCGGCACCGCATTCGCAACATGTAGAGCCTCTCATCCAGCAGTTGGCCCCCCCTGCCTGGTATGGTCGGGAGCTCGTAGGTCCCGAGGTATGTCCTAGGCTTCTCGTGGCACTGCTCGCAGCGCGCTGCCCGCCAGCACCCCCCGGCTTCCCACTGCTGCTGTCTCGAGCAGCGGCAGGAATATTGCGGGTCCGTGGGCAATGAACTGCGCCATCAGACGCGGGTCAGGCGTCTGCGCGGGCCCCTGCCGCTCGTCGAGTCCGTCGTGGAGACGCTGCAGGGCCCGCTTCACGGCCTCGACCCAGCTCCCCCGCCGGCGCGCAGCAGTTTCGGCAGGACCGCAGGCGCGCGCTGCAGCAGCCCAGGGAGGCAACGCAGTCGGCGCATTGCGAATGCGGCATTTGGCGCGGGCATCTCGGCAACGGCGAGGATCTCCTCGATCGCGACGCCCCGTTGGGCGCGGTTCTTGGCCTCGGTGGCGGCGAGGCGGCGCCCATTCACGCGCCCAGCGACGATGGCCTCTCTCCTTGTCGCCCACTTCGCTCTACACGCGCACATTGAAAATCATGGCGGCATTGGCGAGGGCTTCATTGCACTGACCCTTCTCGCTGATCGGCAGTTTCTTTCTGGGGCGCACCTCTTACCTGAGCGGCCCCCCTTGATACGATCGCTTTGACCATCCGTCTTTTCAGCTCGCACCCTGGGGAGCTGGTAGAAGTGATCACGGTGCCGAGTGCTCTCTGATGGCTGACGGTCCCGACGGGGTCTCAGCATTGGTCGATGCTGACGTCATTCCTGTCGCTATGTGTCATCTCCTGATTGGCCATGACGGATTCCTTCTCGTTGACGCCCATCATGTGACCTGTCTGGCCCGAGCCGCGATGATGCGGAGCGATTGTTCGGCTGCGTCGCGGGCGCGCTCGGGGCCAGTGACTGCGAGCGCCGCGAGGGCGTCCGCGAATGACGCATCTGCAAAGTGCCCCCCACCACCCTGCTCATAAGTGGCGATTCTCAGTTGAGCCGGCAGAGGTTGTCCGTCTTTTCGTTCGGGGATCTCGTAGGCCATGCCCTCCTCCACGACGTCTCCCGCGATCGCTTTGGTGACCTGAGCCAAAGCGCATTTGACGGATTGGCCTGACGCCGGCACGCCGGGTCTTGTTCCAGTCCTGGTCTGCGCCATGATATTTGATCCTCTGGCGGTGGCCCACACGTCGCCACGCGCATCCCCCGTGACTACAGACGGCGCGCGTCGCCAATGCGGCTGAACATTGGCGAGCACTGCGTTGTTCCTTCCAGCACTGGCAAGAGCGGCGGCGCTGCGGCGGCCCCCACAAGGTCGATGATCTCGTCCGTCTACACGCTGAGTTTGTATACCATCAGCAAGACCACTCTGCACAAGGCACCCTCAAGGACTAGGAATAGCTGCACCGCTGTGCGCCCCTCCATCTGGATCTGACTGCGGCAGGCGATCGCATCGCGAGCGGCGAAGTCGGAGCTGCGACGCGGCCTTCCTCCAGCGCGGCACCCCCCAATAGGACAACGGATATCGTTTCGAGCCTTCCCCGCGGGCAACTGCGGCGGCGCTGTGCAATGGCGTTGTTGAGGGGAATCATCCGTCGCACTGCCGCGCCCAGTTCGACGCCGTCGGGTTCGGCGCGAGACGCCTGCCAGACCCCATTGTGAAATAATGGCCCCACTGTGGCAACGTGGCCATTGATGATGAGCGGGCGGAACAGCCTGGTCATCTCCTCCACGGGTTCTGCTGCCACAAGACCGCCCCGGACGCCTCCAAGTCCTCCTCGCCCGCCCCTCTGCGCCGCAGTCACGAGTTTACCCCGTTCGCCACAGCTGCAATGTCCTGGGCATAGCCCTCATGATGGGGGCCTTCAGCATGGCCCTGGCGATGATCCGCCCATCGCATGCTCGTTCTAGTTGTCGCGTATCTCTTGTGGCATCCTGCAGAGGGAGCGCACTGCGATGGCGATGCGGCCCAGCTCCGCCCCCGCCCGCCGGCCTGCGTTCTCGACGGGGTTGCCCCGTTGATTTTACGGTGCCGTTCCAGGAGGCCCCCCTTCCAAAAGTTCATAGTCTCCCCAGCGACCGCCAATCCTCGGCGGGGTCGTTATTCGACTCCCTCGACGATGTCCCCTGCGCTTCTGCCCAGGAAGCTGACTGGGTCATCCCCCGCGGCGTCCGTCCGCGAGCAGCGGCATTGCATCCCTGAGAAAGGTCATGACTGATAGTGCCATCTCGCAGCCGTCTATCTCCTGGCGCATCTGCTCGGTCGCATTGGCGGCGAGAGCGATGAGAGGGCCAAGCGCCCGAAGCGCGCGCCAGAATTGCCGCGGCCGCGGGCGCGCTGGCCCTGCGCAGCTGGCAGTCTAGCTTCGCATCCCGCACCCTGGCCGAGCAGGCGTCGCCCTCGCGCCTCAGCGCGCGCGCGGGCCCGCGACGCGCCATTCTCAATCTCAGCACAGTAGGAGCTCGACCACAAGAACCCCCCACAAGAAACCCAACCCTGAGACCCCAGGACCCCCATTCACTTCCGGCGCTTCCACGGCAAAACCGTCGAAGCCCAAGAGATCCAGCGCACCCGGCGGGCAAGCACGGCGCTTCTTGGCGTGGAACTGCTACGCAAAGCTGGGC